GGTGCTTGGGGTGCAGCGTTCAGGCTGGGTAGGGGCACAGGTGACAGAGGACTGGGTGCCCTGGCGGGTGCTCCTAGGGGTCTGCCTCCTGCTGACCTGTCTGCGCTCTGGAGTGCGTGTCCTGAGGGCTCCCCACGCCCAGCGACCGGGGCCATGCTGAAGCTCAGTCCTGACGGCCCTCAGCCACACGCCCAGCAGCCCAGTCGGGGCGATGCCACTGCTATGTGTCTGGCTGCATCTGGGCTGAGGGCTCAGGGCCACTCACTCGTCTCCTCTGGCAGGTGCCACGTGGACGGTGTTTGATGAGCCAGCGAGCCCAACCGCTGCCACCCCGGGAGTGGCGATGGACGTGGGCTCCAGTGTGTGGGCAGCCAGGGCCCCCAGCACCACGGCTCTGGAGGAGAAAGGCTGGGCCAAGTTCCCCGACTTCCAGCCCTTCTGCTGGTGAGGTGGCAGGGCAGGCGGCGGCCATGCCCGGGTCGGGCAGCGTCTCCCTGCACGGCCTCAGCCTTGGCTTTGTTCACAGCTCCGAGTTGGGGCCCAGGTGCAGCTCCCCCGTGGACGTAGGACCCGGCGATGCCCAGGGTGGCCTGAGCCAGGGCCCAGAGAGAACCCGTGAGTCGGAGCAGCTCTGATGGCCGGGCAGCGGGCAGAGTGGCCCAGGCCCAGGAGGGATGGATGGCCTTTGAGCCGCCCTTGGAGGGAGGGTCTGCCCTTGATCTGTCTGTGCCACCGGGACCCCTGGCAGCCTCCTCGTACCTCGCACGCCCTGGGCCGCCTCGGTGGCAGCTGGGGGGCCTGTCCAGAGGCTGGGAAGCCCCAGGGGGTTTAGGGCCACGCAGGGAGGGGAGCTCCTTCGCTGGCAGACACACCCCTTGTCAGGCAGCGTGCGGACAGGTTCTGTCCCAAGTCTGAGCTGAAGCTTTTGCATGCCTGCCCGAGTTTGGGGGCTCCCCTGCCCTCACCAGTGTCCCCCGGCCCCTGTCTTGCAGTTGGCTCCGCCTCCCCGTGCGCCTGGAATGTGTGTGTCTCCAGGGACGCCCCTCTGGTGGCCTCCGGCAGTGATGAGGACAAGCAGGTGGCTGTCACCTCAGAGGCTGTCAGTATGGGTCCCGGCCAGGAGGCCCCCCCACTGCCCTCGCCGGTCCCCAGGTGTGCAGGATTGGGGGAGGGGGGTGCGATTGTCCACAGCTCTCCGCTTGCCCAGAAGAGGGACCCTGTGACCCCCCAGAGGTGGGCTCTGTGGAGAGGGATGCACAGGGGTGAGCAGAGGACCTCAATGTCCCACCCCAGGGACCTGGGAATGGGGCCGCCCCACCATAGGCCCACCTTGGAGAGAATGGCCAGGCACTGCTGAGCCACTCCCCAGGCTCTGGGGTGGCCGGCCCTGGGTGGTGGGAAGGGGGTTCAACTTTTATCCTGTCTGGTATGTGCCAAGTCCCAGCCATGTGCCCACCTAAACCAGGCGCCTTGGAAAGAAATGCCTGTCGCGCTCAGACAGTGGGGGGATGTTAGGGCTTTGTAGCTGAACTCTGATGGGGGGTGACCTCCGTGCAAGCTGAGCCCCCACATGTCCCACCCCTACACTCAGGGAGAAAGTCCAGGCTGGGCTGGGGAGTGGTGGAGGGGGGAGGGCAGCACAAGGAGCTGTTTTGGAAACTAGGAAAGGAGTGGTGGGCAGTGTGAGGTGCAGTCAGAGCAGGTGGTGCTGCGTGAAATGGCGCCTTCCCGGCCTTCCCTTGTTCCCCCGACAGGCGGCAGACTGGCACCTGGCCAGGTCCCACCCACCCCGGTTCCCACCTGAGGTGGAGCTCTGGGCATCCCATTGGTGGGGGTCCCGCTCTGTCTCACAACAGGAAGTGGGGCAGGGCTATGATGAACAGAAAACCATGGCCAGGCAAGGGGGCAAGCCTGGGGCTCCTGAGGGGTTTAGTTCCTTCTTAAAGCAGCATTACAGTTCTTAAACTTCCCCCGACCTCTCCCCTCCTAAACAGCTATCCTCTGACCAGCGGGTTATGTCCTTGCAAAAGCAAGCCGTCGGTCTGCCTGCCCTGCCCTGGCCGATGTGGGCTTGTGCCTTCCCAGTCGAGTTGTCTGCAGGCTCGTGTGGTCTATTCCACACGCTGCCAACTGCACCTGGCGCAGCCCCACGAGGCCCCACAAGCCCCTCCTGCCTGCTCTGCAGGCTCCCAGGGGTCCTTGTGAGGGTGGTGTTGACATGACACAGTGGAAGCAAGTGCTGGGCAGGTGTGGGCCCCGCTGGGCAAACCCCCTCCTGGGCTGCAAGAGGGGCCAGGCTGTCCCTAGGCCGCCGTCATGCCCTGGCCCTGTGGAGTTCTGGGCAGACATGGCCTGTGGGCTGTCAGGGAAGTGCCAGGGCCAAGTGCGGTCCCCAGAAATGAGGGTCCTGGGGAGCAGGGTAGGGGCTGCCTGGAGGGAGGGTGGAGGCCTTGGGGGCAGGCAGGTTGCTCTGGCATGTTGGGAACTTGGGGCAGCCCAGGTCACTGAGCCCAGATCTGCCCACAGGGCTGCCAGCAAGCTACCAGGTCCCACCTCTGCACCTGCAGAAGCCACCTCCACACTGGCTGGGGCTGTCCCCCCCGAGGCAGCCTCCACAGCTCTGAGCAAGGCCAGTCCTGCCCCAGCCCCCACAGGGGTGCTGGCTGTGGCAGTGCCCCCAGGGCCCATGGTGGCCATCACCACCATAGCCACAGCCAGCCCAGCTGTCTCCACAGTGGCCGTTCTGGGGACCGTGACAAAGGACAGGTGAGCAGGCTGGGCCAGGGGGAGGGGACTGGACAGGGACCCTTGGACCCTTAGGTTCCAAGACCCACTCCTCTTCCTGCAGGAAGACAGCTGCCCCGCCAGCAGGAGCCGCCTCCAATGGCCCCGTGTGATGCTGCCACCCAGCCAGGGCGCGCCCTTAATCGATACCTACCTGGTGATGCAATTTGTCTTTTTTAATTTAATTTAATTTTAAAATAAATGCTGCATTGGTAAAGCTGGCAGTTGGACCCAGTCGGACGGCCCAGCTCGCGTCGCTCCTGCCTGACCCCATGCACAGCAATAAGGCTTCAGAGTGCGCTCTGCCTGCCAGAGCCAGGCCACAACCCTGGTGCCACAAGGACTGAGGCGCGATGGGCGCGGACGCCACAGGCTGCCAGCCTGTCTTTACCGATTTTTAAACAAATGCAGAGAGAGCCGTGTTTGCACTTTGTATCTGGCTGGAGTGAAGGGTCTCCCTGACTCGGGACAGATGCATGTCCAGAGCTGGGCTGGCCACACAGGTCTTAGCTGCCCAGGGGGCCTGGGAGCTGGCCTCTAAGCCAGGATGCAACATTTGACTGCCTTAAAAATATCGAGACCCTCACAGCCCGGCAGGGGTATCCCAGCCCTGGCACTCCGGTGCATTTGGGCACCTGGCAAGAGCTGGCCATGGGCATGCAGGAGGGGGCAGGGGCGGAGACTGGCCCCAGCAGTGCTGGGTGGGTGGAGCCTGCACCCGCTGGGGCAGTGCCATCGTCCTGGAAGGCCTGCAGAGTGTGTGATGCTGAGTCCATTTTTAATGTTCTGATGATCTCTGACAGGGCACCCAAACCCCAACTCCCAATAAAGTTGTGTTATTCTTACTGACAACCGCGTCTTGTGAAGCTGCACACCCTGGAGCCCATCCTGGCCAGTGGGGAGGGAGGGTGTCTGCTGCCCCAGGCCCACCCCGTCACAGCTGCAGGTCTCAACACCTGAGCAACAAGGAGCAATACACATTGAGCGTTTCCTCTGCCTGGAGCTCACGGCTCCAACACCTCAAACACAAGTGCCACTCTGTCCTCCCTGGCCAGGCAGGAGGGGCAACTGAAGGACAGTGACTCCCCCCAGGGTCTGTGCCTGGCTACTGGCCGGGAGGAGGGTCTCCCAGGAAGGCCTGGTGCTGTCCTGACCTTGCCCTGGGGCCACTGCTTTGGTGACTTCTGCCCCTGACCCCAGGGAACACATGACATTCAGGCACAGGACCCCAAGCCTGTAGGTTTCCTGGGAATTGGAAACGGTCCCACAGCCGGCAGCAGTGGCCTAGGGAGGACCTGAGGGCCCCATCCTCTACCCCCTGTGCTGCCAGAGGTCCCACCTGCACCTGTGTCCACCTCTGTGTGTGTTTTTTTTAATATATTGTTATTGATTTCAGAGAGGGAGAGAAACATCAATGATGAGAGGGAATCATTGATTGGCTGCCTCCTGCATGCCCCCTACTGGGGATCAAGCCTGCAACCTGGGCATGTGCCCTTGACCGGAATTGAACCTGGGACCCTTGAGTCCACAGACTGATGCTCCATCCACTGAGCCACACCAGCCAGGGCCACCCCTAGCTAGGCCCTCACACCACCAGCCCCTCTGACCAGGAACCAGTGGCCACTCTCCGACCACTGCCATGTTCTCTCAGCTCTGACACCCATCCCCCACACCCCACCTGCTGCCCATCCCACAGGTGAGGCCGGGGCTGGTGGGACTCATGTCTGAATGGGAAAGGAGCCCCTTACTCCCAAGACGTGCTGGGGGGTGGATAAGCATGTGGAACCGATTCCCAGAACCAAGGCCATCAGTGACAGCCACCACGCCTGCCTCAGGGCCATGCCCACGCCACATATGAACCCTCTTCCCCACATCCTCAGGCACCCTCGCTCCCAGCCCACCCTCCTAGCACCTCCTTCCATCTGACCAGCGACCACCATGTCTCGTGACCCCATCCTCCAGCCCCTCCGCCCAGTCTGCCCTCTGGGCAGCCTCCCGAGAGCCACGCAAATGACCGACTCCACCTCCCCTTACACTGCCTCTCCACAGCACCCCAGAGAGGTCCTCGGGCTGTGCAACCCCACAACCAGCCGAGGCCAGGCCAGAGCAGGGGCCTGAGGGAGCCGCCCCAGAGCTGTGGACAACCTGGCAGAGTGCTCGACCCCCACGCGGCCGACCTGGGTCCTTTCCTCTGGGAAGCTGAGGAGACGCAGGCGTGTGGCACATAGTTAGTTCTCTTTATAGACTCTGTAGGAACAGGGTGCCTGCGGGCCGCCGGGGCCACCACGCGGACAGGGCTGGGCTATTTACAGGCCCACCGAGAGGGCTGTACCATGGCGCCTCCCGCCAGAGCTCAGCCAGGACTCCAAAATAAGCCAGAGCTGGCCAGGCGGGCGGGGTGGGCAGGATGGGGTTGGCAGGGGCTATACACACAAATTCGGGGGCTGGGCCTCAATACTGTCAAGGGTGGGGGCTGTAAACATGGCCGGGGGGCCCTGCCCACCCCTAGTGGTCTGTAACTGGACACAGCGCAGCCGGGCAGGGCTGGGCTCAGGCATCTGACAGGCAACTCTGGATCTGGTCCACCCACTGCTGGGCCGACGGCACGTCCTGGGCACAGAAGTTGTAAACACGACGAGTCGTCTTCACCTGGGGAGGGTTGGTAGCTGAGTCCTCGGCCCACCCCACGGAGCCCCCTGCCTGCCCGCCCGCCCGCCTTCTCCTGCACCCTGGTCACAGCTCACATCGAAGAAGGCCTTCTCGTCCACGGTCTTGGGGGCGCCCATGGTGGGAGTGCCAGACACCACGGCCTCCACCTCCGCCAGGTCGATGACCCCCTTGCACTCTGTATCCACGCGGTGGTCATAGTAGCGCAGCTGAGGGGGACAGGAAGTCAGGGCCGGTCCTAGCCCCTGCCTACCCTGTGCCCACTGACCACTCACCTGGTGCTTAGTCTTGTCCAGCACGAACCAGCGGGCCTTCCAGGGCTTCATGAAGGCCCCCTTCTTGTAGAGGGTGCCCTCGTAGGATCTGCATTGGTAGTGGAACCAGGGCCATCAGCGCCCAGCCAGCCCAGCTGTCCCCTCCCCTGCTGGCCGGTCCTAGCAGCAAGACCAATGCCCCTGTCCCCAAATGAAGCAAGGCTGAGCACTGACCAGGGAGCCCCAGAAAAGCGGAGAAGGGCCCCCCACATCAGAGCCTCAGGTGTCCGTGAAGCCGCCCTGCACACGGCAGGTGCTGTGGACAGGGAGGAGGACCATCCAGCCGCTCCCCAGGCCCAGAGGGCGATGCGGCCGCCAGGCCCTGGCCTGACCAGGAACCTACTTCAACCTCACCTGGCACCCTGCCTGCCCTCACCGTACCCATAGCCCTGTCCCTCTGCTCTGCAGCCACCGTGGCTGGCCTATGGTCACTGGTTCTATATCCCAAACCCCTTCCAAGCCACTATTGTGTCCCCAGCAACTGAGCTGAAGCTCAAGCCACTGTCGGGTCCCCCCACAAGTCCTTCTCCCCTGAGAATGACCAGAAGTTCCCCAAGGGCACCTGTCCGTGATCTGAGAGGCCCCCAGCCCAGAGGTGCCCACAGCCCAGTGGGCGGGGCCTCGCACCTGTTCTCACTCTCAGCCGTCTGGAACTGGCTGTACAGGGTACTGGTGCTGCGGCGGGCGGCCTGGCGGGAGCCGGATGTGGTTGAGCCACTGCTCTGGTCACTGTCCAGGCTGAGGCTCAGGGTGGAGCCCACAGGCCCCTCCTGCAGGTACACACCCAGCGAGCGGCGGTGGTGGGGCACACTGGACACCAGCAGAGAACTGGGGGTGCCCTGGGGGCAGGAGATGGGCCTGTGTCAGTGCCAGGCGGCCTCCACCACTTCCTGGCAGCAAGCCCACCCAGCCCCCCACAGCCACTCCCGCTCACACGTCCGTCTGGCCGGCCTTCGAGGCGCTGGGCAGCCTTCACCCGATCCCAGTTGTCCTTCCACCGCTCAGGGGGCCGGCCCAGCTCCGTCTCCAGCCGCTGCAGCTCCTGGGGAGAATCAGGGAGCTAGCGTTATTCAGAAGTACCCAGCCTGGGACGTGAAACAGCAAAAGGAAGAAAATACAGGAAAAGTGAGACAGTAGGAAAAGGCTAACGTGTATTAACAGGACAAAAGGAGAAGACAGGGTGGGGGAGGTGCAGAATCAGTATTTAGGGACAACAGCTGGAAGTGTTACCACACAATAAGGGGCATCACAACATAACGAGGGCACTGCAAACCCAAACCGGCTACGACAGGAAAACGGCTGAAGTTCAAAGGGAAACCCAATCCCTACCAGGAAAGAGGCCGCGCTCTTCAGAACGCAGCAACGGAACTGCCAGCTAATGTGCTCCCGAAGGCGGGACGTCCACCTCTGTTCACAACAGTGATCAGCTCCTGACTAGCCGCCGTAGACAACCATGGGCTGGACCAGTGCGGCCAGAGGCCCTGAGACGGTGACACCAGGGCCACGGCCACAATAGGGAGGCAGAGCCCGAGCCAAGCACCGAGTTGCCGAGTTGCGGAGGCAGGCGCCAGGAGGCTGGGGACGTGTGTGGGTCCGCAGGGCGGCGATGGAGGGGAGGGATGGCTCAGAAACCCACACTGAGGCCTCCTGAGTGTTTGGCCAAATTAAACTGCCATGTGACAGGCAAGATGTCACGAGGCCTGAGCAGCTACTAAGGAACCTGGAGGGGACACACTGCGGGGAGACGAAGGAATGCCAGACGCCCAGAGCCCGGCTCTTTGCGAGCACACGCACCGTCGGCAGAAACCCTGGAGGGGCCACGCCTGTGGAGCAGGGCCCCTCTGAACCAGGGGGAAGGTGTCTCTCGAGCTGCCCTAACAAAGTTTATAAACAACCCCAGAGAAGACCAGCTGACACACAAGCCCATTAGCTGCCTGGAAGAATAAAATTCAAGACACGTTCAAGGAAGACAACACATTCCTAACACTCAAAAAGGAACCCACAGTGTCTAGCTTATAAAACATGATTAGACAACAAAAATGCAGGAAAATGAGACCCATACTTAGTGGAAAGGTTAAAAGAAACAGCTCCCAAATGAAATTGGTATTCAATTACCACACAAGATTTTAAGAAAAAGATGGACATAATGGTTGAACAGATGGGGACTCTGCAGAGAATGTAACTATGAAAAAAAATTCTAGAGCTGAAAAATATCTAAAATATTTTATCTATTCTTAGATAGACTTAAGAGCACATAAACATAAGAGAAATAAACTTGAAGACAAGGTAATAGAAATCCTCCAAAATGAATTGCAGAGAGGAAAGACAGGAGGGAAAAATAGCCTCAATGACCTATGGCAAAATAAAGTCCCAGAGGAAAGAAGGGAGAGATTGTGAAGATAAAAACTTTTAAAAGAAATAATAGCCTAAAATGTATTAAACTTGATGAAAACTATCATCCCATAGATTTATGACGCTTAAAGAGCTCCAAGTAGAATGAACACAGAAAAGCCATGTGATGGTCAAACTGCTGAAATCAAAGATGATGAGAACAATCCTAAAGGTTCTAAGAGAAAAAAAAAGGGTACTTTACGCAGTTTCTCAACCATAAGAAAGAGACCAACTCTTAATCAGAAACACTACAAGCCAGGATGAACCAAGATGGCGGCATAGGTTAACGCCGGAGTTTGCTGCCTTGAACAACCACTTCAAAAGTGAAACTAAAAGACGGAACGGACATCACCCAGACCCACAGGAACGCTGGCTGAGTGGAAGTCCTACAACTAGGAGGAAAGAGTAACGCATACGGACACTCAGAGGAGGCGCAGTGCTGAAGTCAAAC